TACTCCACTCCCTCTACCATTACCTTCTGTGTCACTATACCCTACTCCCTCTACCATTACCTTCTGTGTCACTATACCCCACTCCCTCTGCCATTACCTTCTGTGTCACTATACCGCCCTCCCTCTACCCTTACAATCTGTGTCACTATACCCCACTCTCTCTACCCTTACCTTCTGTGTCACTATACCCCACACCCTCTACCATTACCTTCTGTGTCACTATACTCCACTCCCTCTACCATTACCTTCTGTGTCACTATACCCCACTCCCTCTACCCATACCTTCTGTGTCACTATACCCCACTCCCTCAACCCTTTCAACCCTTACCTTCTGTGTCACTATACCCCACTCCCTCTACCCATACCTTCTGTGTCACTATACCCCACTCTCTCTACCCTTACCTTCTGTGTCACTATACCCCACTCCCTCTACCCATACCTTCTGTGTCACTATACCCCACTCCCTCTACCGTTACCTCCTGTGTCACTATACCCTATTCCCTCTACCGTTACCTCCTGTGTCACTATACCCCATTCCCTCTACCCTTACCTCCTGTGTCACTATACCCCACTCCATCTAGAACGTAAGCTGGTTTGAGCAAGGTCCTCAACTATGTCCTATTCCTGTGCATCGAACTTCCAAAAAAATGTCTGCTAGCCCACCTATTGTACAGCGCTATGGAATTTGTTGGCACTTTATAAATTATTATGAGGAATATTTGATCGCCCCACCAACCATGGATCTCTCTCTCTCTCTCTCTCTAGATCCGCGTTTGTCTAGCTTTGGCCTCCATCCATGGTTGTCACAGGCCATTGGCCAGGCTGGCTGTGTTTTGGGAGCTCTGTGAATCTGCACAGGATGAAATGTATTGTGATGAGAAGGTCATTAGGTAATTCATAATTCGCTGGTTTCTATAGATGGTTTATATCATGGGTGTCCACATACATACAACCTGCCGGTGGGCTACTTATTCACAGCTCGTTGTTACATGGAATTTCCCATAGAAATTTGCGTAAATGAAATCCCTTACAGCTATGTCCTATCTCAATTTCCCAGTTTAGTGAATTAAACCCTAAATCTGGGGTGAAGGGGGGAAGGTCTCAAAACAATCACAGATTAATTGCTGCTATTGTCATTGTCCCCCTCCCGACCCCCCTCTCATCTCTTATCAGCATGGGGGGGAATTCAAACAAACAGCCTATTGTTCTGCTCCCCCTGTATCAATAGCTCCTGCCCCGTCCCCTTCCGTCCCTTTGATGAGCCTGTGTGTGTGTGTGGGAGGGGGGGGGGGAGGCTTCATTGCCCCCCTCACAAACACCTAATACACTATATATAAATCACTGGACTCAAACAGGATGATTCATTTAAGTGAGATCTCAGGAATTCAGAGTTAACTAACAATTTAAGGCCAAAATAACCGAATTGAAAAATGCTCCAGGTTTCCAGGGCGAATGGGGCAAATTCTCAGAGTGAATGGGCAGATTCTCAGAGTGAATGGGCAGATTCTCATTGTGAATGGGGCAGATTCTCAGAGTGAATAAGGGAAATTCTCATTGTGAATGGGGCAGATTCTCAGAGTGAATGAGGCAGATTCTCATTGTGAATGAGGCAGATTCTCAAAGTGAATGGACAGATTTTCTCAGTGTGAATGGGGCAGATTCTCAGAGTGAATGGGCAGATTCTCATTGTGAATGGGGCAGATTCTCCGAGAGAATGGGCAGATTCTCATTGTGAATGGGGCAGATTCTCTCAGGGTGAATGGGGCAGATTCTCATTGTGAATGGAGCAGATTCTCAAAGTGAATGGACAGATTCTCTCAGTGTGAATTGGGCAGATTCTCAGAATGAATGGGCAGATTCTCAGTGTGAATGGGGCAGATTCTCAGAGTGAATGGATAGATTCTCTCAGGGTGAATGGGGCAGATTATTATGGTTAATGGGTAGATTCCCAGGGTGAATGGGTTAATTCTCAGGGTGAATGGGTTAATTCTCAGGTTCTCCTGTGAATGGGCAAATTTTTCAGTGTGTGTAGTTGCAAAGCATTGGGTATTATTACAGAGCAGTTTGTGTAGTTGCAGAGCAGTGTATATAATTGCAGAGCAGTGTATATGATTGCAGAGCAGTCTGTGTATTTGCAGAGCTGTGTATATAATTGCAGAGCAGTTTATATGATTGCAGAGCAGTGTATATGATTGCAGAGCAGTCTGTGTATTTGCAGAGCTGTGTATATAATTGCAGAACAGTTTGTGTAGTTCCAGAGCAGTGTATATGATTGCAGAGCAGTCTGTGTAGTTCCAGAGCAGTGTATATGATTACAGTGCAGTTTGTGTAGTTGCAGAGCAGTGTATATGATTGCAGAGCAGTATATGTAGTTGCAGAGCAGTGTATATGATTACAGTGCAGTTTGTGTAGTTGCAGAGCAGTGTATATGATTGCAGAGCAGTGTATATGATTGCAGAGCTGTTTATGTAGTTACAGAGTAGTGTATATGATAACAGTGCAGTTTGCGTAGTTGCAGAGCAGTGTATATGATTGCAGAGCAGTATGTGTAGTTGCAGAGCAGTGTATATGATTACAGTGCAGTTTGTGTAGTTGCAGAGCAGTGTATATGATTGCAGAGCAGTTTGTGTAGTTACAGAGCAGTGTATATGATTACAGTGCAGTTTGTGTAGTTGCAGAGCAGTCTGTGTAGTTGCAGAGCAGTGTATATGATTACAGTGCAGTTTGTGTAGTTGCAGAGCAGTGTATATGATTGCAGAGCAGTTTGTGTAGTTACAGAGCAGTGTATATGATTACAGTGCAGTTTGTGTAGTTGCAGAGCAGTCTGTGTAGTTGCAGAGCAGTGTATATGATTACAGTGCAGTTTGTGTAGTTGCAGAGCAGTGTATATGATTGCAGAGCAGTTTGTGTAGTTACAGAGCAGTGTATATGATTACAGTGCAGTTTGTGTAGTTGCAGAGCAGTCTGTGTAGTTGCAGAGCAGTGTATATGATTACAGTGCAGTTTGTGTAGTTGCAGAGCAGTGTATATGATTGCAGAGCAGTTTGTGTAGTTACAGAGCAGTGTATATAATTGCAGAGCAGTGTATATGATTACAGTGCCGTCTGTGTATTTGCAGAGCAGTGTATATGATTGCAGAGCAGTTTGTGTAGTTGCAGAGCAGTGTATATAATTGCAGAGCAGTGTATATGATTGCAGAGCAGTTTGTGTATTTGCAGAGCAGTGTATATGATTGCAGAGCAGTCTGTGTATTTGCAGAGCTGTGTAAATAATTGCAGAGCAGTGTATATGATTGCAAAGCAGTTTGTGTATTTGCAGAGCAGTGTATATGATTGCAGAGCAGTCTGTGTATTTGCAGAGCTGTGTATATAATTGCAGAGCAGTTTGTGTAGTTGCAGAGCAGTGTATATGATTGCAGAGCAGTTTGTGTCGCTTGGCTCTGATATCATTAATTCTCAGGTTCTCCTGTGAATGGGCAAATTTTTCAGTGTGTGTAGTTGCAAAGCATTGGGTATTATTACAGAGCAGTTTGTGTAGTTGCAGAGCAGTGTATATAATTGCAGAGCAGTGTATATGATTGCAGAGCAGTCTGTGTATTTGCAGAGCTGTGTATATAATTGCAGAGCAGTTTATATGATTGCAGAGCAGTGTATATGATTGCAGAGCAGTCTGTGTATTTGCAGAGCTGTGTATATAATTGCAGAACAGTTTGTGTAGTTACAGAGCAGTGTATATGATTGCAGAGCAGTCTGTGTAGTTCCAGAGCAGTGTATATGATTACAGTGCAGTTTGTGTAGTTGCAGAGCAGTGTATATGATTGCAGAGCAGTATATGTAGTTGCAGAGCAGTGTATATGATTACAGTGCAGTTTGTGTAGTTGCAGAGCAGTGTATATGATTGCAGAGCAGTGTATATGATTGCAGAGCTGTTTGTGTAGTTACAGAGCAGTGTATATGATAACAGTGCAGTTTGTGTAGTTGCAGAGCAGTGTATATGATTGCAGAGCAGTATGTGTAGTTGCAGAGCAGTGTATATGATTACAGTGCAGTTTGTGTAGTTGCAGAGCAGTGTATATGATTGCAGAGCAGTTTGTGTAGTTACAGAGCAGTGTATATGATTACAGTTCATTTTGTGTAGTTGCAGAGCAGTCTGTGTAGTTGCAGAGCAGTGTATATGATTACAGTGCAGTTTGTGTAGTTGCAGAGCAGTGTATATGATTGCAGAGCAGTATGTGTAGTTACAGAGCAGTGTATATGATTACAGTTCAGTTTGTGTAGTTGCAGAGCAGTGTATATGATTGCAGAGCAGTGTATATGATTACAGTGCAGTTTGTGTAATTACAGAGCAGTGTATATGATTACAGTGCAGTCTGTGTATTTGCAGAGCAGTGTATATGATTGCAGAGCAGTTTGTGTAGTTACAGAGCAGTGTATATAATTGCAGAGCAGTGTATATGATTACAGTGCCGTCTGTGTATTTGCAGAGCAGTGTATATGATTGCAGAGCAGTTTGTGTAGTTGCAGAGCAGTGTATATGATTGCAGAGCAGTTTGTGTATTTGCAGAGCAGTGTATATGATTGCAGAGCAGTCTGTGTATTTGCAGAGCTGTGTTTATAATTGCAGAGCAGTGTATATGATTGCAGAGCAGTTTGTGTATTTGCAGAGCAGTGTATATGATTGCAGAGCAGTCTGTGTATTTGCAGAGCTGTGTATATAATTGCAGAGCAGTGTATATGATTGCAGAGCAGTCTGTGTATTTGCAGAGCTGTGTATATAATTGCAGAGCAGTTTGTGTAGTTGCAGAGCAGTGTATATGATTGCAGAGCAGTTTGTGTCGCTTGGCTCTGATATCATCTCTGACCCCAGGAGCTAGCAATTCTCATGACGTGGAGAACCCCCTCCCCCAGCCAGGGGTTTCAGTGAAACTCTCCCCCCAGGTGAGGAAGATCTCTGCCCCTTCACCTGAAGGTGCTCAGCTGATGACCTCACAGGGGGATGGGGGCAGTTCTTTAAAAGCTGCAGGCCAGGGGCAGGGGATGTTCAGTTCCACTGATCGCTGCTGCAGGTAAGAGAGAGATTCCTTGGGGGGGTATATTTACCAACCTGCCTGCTGGGGAGACCTCAGTCCAAACCATTTCATGTTTAGTGAATATCTCTGAAAACCACCCAGGGGCAGGTATTATGGGGTTGCATGTGATCATCATGTATCCATCTGGGGGTTCGGTAGTTCAGTGATTGCTCAGGTGGTCTAGAGAGAACGGGTTCTAACGCACTATTTTTAGTAGTTGTGGATTTATTTTTAATATGTTGCTACTCCTTTAACGTTGGTTTGGGGAGCACTGGGGAGGTTGGGTTTGGGGAGCACTGGGGGGTCTGGGGAGCACTGGGGGTCTGGGGGGGGCTTGGGGAGCACTGGGGGTTGGGTTTGGGGAGCACTGGGGGGTCTGGGGAGGTTAGGTTTGGGGGGTCTGGGGGGAGCACTGGGGGAGGTTGGGTTTGGGGAGCTCTGGGGGGGGGTTGGGTTTGGGGAGCACTGTCTTGCAGGGGTCTGGAGGTTTTGGGTTTGGAGGTGGTCTGGAGGGTTTGGGAAGCACTGTATTGGTTGGGTTTGGGGGTACTCTAGCACCCTCTGGAGGGGTTGGTTTTTGGGAGCACTGTCTTGCACTCTTTATGGTTTAATGCTTTATTTTGGTGGTCTCACCCCTAAACAATAATGGTAACCCCAAATGCTCCTTGAGGTCTAGATGGGTTGGTGTGGGGCACTCTCCTGGGTTTGGTGTCTCTGTGGGAGGAGGGTCTATAAGTTGCCCCATGCATGGTGTTAATGATTACCCCTCTAACTCTATCAATTGTGGGGTATTGAGGTACTCTGCCATGCAGTGACATGATCCTTGGCTGCACAATTCCCTTAACCAGGCACTAAGCCATGGTACAATCTCCCAGGGGCACCAACAGCAGGGTGTGTGTGTGTGGGGGGGGGGGATTCTTGTAAAACTTCTTACTGGCCAGAAACTAACAAACTTGTAGCAAGGAGCGATTGGACGTTCCTCTTATCAGGTTTAATGCTTTATCCTCATTAAAACGAGTCCCTCTGTCAGTCCAATAAGATGTTAGAGACTGCAGAACTTTAAATTACTGGAGTAATATGGAACATCCTCATATCACTGGTAAGGTGAAGCCTTCTCCACTGTAATCCTAGTGGACGTGGTGGTGGGGGGTGCAACTATTCACTTTAAGTAGCCATAGTCCTCGTTCTGTACCCCTCGGTTTAGGGTAACAAATGATAACTGACTAATCTTCTTCTCACGTTAATGTCCCATATGGCTTCCGTCTCTGATCCCATGTTGTCTTCTTGCAGCTCTCCCTCTCTGATCCTGTGAAGATGGCGTCAACTGGTCTCCAGCTACTTGGCCTGGTGCTGGCTCTCATCGGCTGGGTGGGGGGCATCATTACCTGTGCCCTCCCTATGTGGAAGGTGTCGGCCTTCATTGGAAACAACATTGTGGTGTCTCAGGTCGTGTGGGAGGGGCTATGGATGAACTGCGTGGTGCAGAGCACTGGCCAGATGCAGTGCAAGGTGTACGACTCACTACTGGCTCTACCCCGGGATTTGCAGGCTGCTCGTGCCCTCACTATCATTGGCATCCTGGTGGCTCTGCTTGCCATGTTTATTGCCATTGTGGGTGCAAAGTGCACAAACTGCGTGGAGGAAGAGAATACAAAGGCAAAAGTCAGTGTGGTGTCCGGCATTGTCTTCCTGGTGGCTGGTCTCCTCATGCTCATCCCTGTCTGCTGGTCAGCCAACAACATCATCCGTGACTTCTATAACCCACTGGTGTCAGAGGCCCAGAAGAGGGAGCTGGGGGCCTCTCTATACATTGGGTGGGCAGCTTCTGCCCTCCTTCTGCTCGGTGGGGGCATGCTGTGCTGCTCTTGCCCCAAAAAGAATGATGTGGCATATACAGCCCGGTACACAGCGGCCACCTCTCAGCCACGCAGTGATTATCCCACCAAAAACTATGTGTAAAGACTGGACTCTGGACCCTGACATGTTGATGGGGTGTATACTTTTTATAAAACTATTTTATTGAGTGTTGAATAAAATTACCTTTTTATGTCAGTCTGAGGTGGTGTGTAGTTTCTGCAAAATGTCTCTAGCACACAGTGCTGTCAGAACTCACGTATTCTCCCAAGCACCATAACCACTGAAACCATAACATAATTCCACAAAACCTAACAAAGCTACGCACTGACCTGGCAAAATTGCCAAATGGTATTTCTGACATGGATCTACCAGTTTGACTACCTTGGCATTGAATAGAAGGCAGCCTATTGCAGTGCTCCTCAAGGGACCCTTAACAGTCTAGAATTTAGTGATTACCCAGGTCTCTAGGGGAAAACTTTTATTTTATTTTTTATTTTTTGTAATCCTGGGTGGTTAGGTGTGCCTTGAGGAGCACTGGCCTATTGCACAGCTAGTGGAGGATTTGTAATGAGCAAACCGTCATGTATTTTGCTGTATAGCCTGTTGTGTACCAGTATCATGTTACATGGTAACTGGGTGGGCTCTGGATCTCAAGTATCTGACTAGCTTTAAATAAAGGTACTCCTAGCAGCTGTACAACCAGCAAAACTGGCTGGTGCATGGAGCTTCTCCTTAACTTAACGTTATGTTTAATTTTGCAATCCAATGGCTTGCCCTTGAGAAAGGTGGTTAGACCACCGAAACGCGTCAGGCTTTTGATGCACAATTGAGTTATGACTCCAGCATTTTTCTAGTGTACTGGCTTGACAGCCTGTTCTGTGCCCTAAATTTAGAGACCTTTAGCTCTTCCTATACCATGGTGGTTGGGTATAAGCGTCTGTGCGGTTTTCCTCTACTTGCATCTCCCTGTCCTTTCGCTTTTTTTCTTACTGCCTTACCAGCTAGACAATAGTTCTACTAGTGGAGATTTTCATCAGGCTGTGTGTATCTGTAATATAGGGGATACTCATTATCTGACCTGTCCCCCTCTTAACTTTATTAGGGCATGGCAAGCTGTGTGGGGTTTTTAATAATTACCTCTCTACAGGCTGTATTCCCTTGGGGTATTACTGAAACCGTTTCGACTCTCATTTAAGTGAATAGATTTGTTACACTTTTGGAAACTTTCCTGTTTTGTTAATGGGATTATGCCTTGTAGTCACTTCTAGCCAGCTAGATTTTCAGTCTCTAGTGCTATGGTCTTAAGCTGTAACATTGATTTTACTATTAGGAGTAGTGGTTTTGAGGAGAATTCCCCCGCTTTCACAAGGCGACTTCTCCTCACTATTTTGTGTTTTTTATACCGGTACTAGCTAGGGTTATGCCCTCTACTTCCCCTGTATCCCTTCTGTACTCCCTGCCAGACTTCCTTTTTCTAGCTTAAAGTATTATAGTTTTAGGGGCCAATTGGCTGACGAACCCCTAATTCAACATGTCTCGTTTGGGTAAACTTAGTGATTTCTTTACAAAAGTCTCAGACTTCAGTTCTCGACCTGTATTTCGATTGCTAAAACTTGGGGCATTCCATTTCTGGCTTTCTAGTCTTGTCTTAAATTACAGACTTGTTCAGTTTAAAGGAACAGTAAGTTAAAATGGCTCTTGGTGTCTTTCCGCCCTGTGTGAAGGTATTGCACTGACGCGGTCTCAGCGCAGCTGGCTCCACTTCCATGGACGATCTCAGTCTATTAAATTATCTCCTGAAGGAAAGCATTGGGAGGCTAATGCTGCACTGTGCCAATCAGCATCTTCTCATCGTCCTACATTGAATCCATGCATCTCCATGAGGAACTAAATGATTACAACATATTGTGCAAATAGAGTACAGTATAGACAACCTAATATAGGAGTAGCTGGCCTCAGCTGAGATCTAGCGTTAACAGCTTATACATAGTGCTCAATATGGCCCATGAGGTTACGCAGTACGAACCTAAGACAGGAAGGAGCTGGGGCGATTTAAAGGAAATGGACATGGAGCCTTAGAACACTAACCGTGCTAGGATGTGATTGGGGGAGATGGCAAACAACTGACGACAAAGCCTGATCGAAATTAATCAGGGAGCTGGGTGAGGAAAAACTTAATGAAGGGAAAAGGTTGGATATTTATTGCAGGGGGAAAGGGTAATTCTCACTAAATATTAAACACTCTAACAAATGTCGTACTGTTCCATTGCGAGGGGGAACTTAATGTGCAGCGACTGCTTTAGGCTTTCCTCGTAGCAAAGCATTGAATCAATCTATACAAAGAGTCCAGAGTTAAACTCAAAGGCAGGAAGCACCTCTAGTGGCTGTCTGGGGAGAAAAGTGCCAGAGGCAGTCATGACCCTCCCTATAAACAACCTACCCCTCCCCTTGCTCCCACTTACTGCTACAACCTACCCCTCCCCTTGCTCCCACTAACTGCCACAACTTACCCCTCCTTGCTCCCACTCACTGCTACAACCTACCCCTCCGCTTGCTCCCACTCACTGCTACAACCTACCCCTCCCCTTGCTCCCACTCACTGCCACAACCTACCCCTCCCCTTGCCCCTTGCTCCCACTCACTGCCACAGCCTAACACACTCCCACTCCCCAGTCATTCCTCTCCTCCATACTCTCTCTTATAACCTTACTCTGTCTCTCCATTATTATTTTGGCCTTTAATTGGAAATTAACTTTGAATTCTCACTTTAGTGTATAACCCGGTCTGTCTCTCTCATGTTAGCTGTCGTGGTCTCTTGCAGTTGGCCACACTCCCCTTGCCTGTCTCTTTCACACACTCATTCTCTCCCCCTCTTCCCCACTCCCCACTTTGTCAGCAATGTGTAAAATTTGCATTCCGCTGTGAGATTCCTGGATTGTGAACATTAGCATCTCGCTTTCCATCTAACCACAGACTGACCCCAGTCACTCAGCTCCTGATTGTAAGCTGTGTGACCAAGGGCCCAGACTGGCTTGCCACATGTAAAGGGGGTCCTATAATCACGACTGTTAGAGTGGGGTCCTATAAATCACCGACTGCGAGACTGGGGTCCTATAAATCACCGCCTGCGAGACTGGGGTCCTATAAATCACCGCCTGCGAGACTGGGGTCCTATAAATCACCGCCTGCGAGAGTGGTGTCCTATAAATCACCGACTGCGAGAGTGGGGTCCTATATATCACCGACTGCGAGAGTGGGGTCCTAGAATCACCGACTGATTAATAGAATGATAGGGGGGGGGTGACAGGATGGTGGGGGTTCCGTAATAGAATAATAGAAGTGCCAGGATGGTGGGGGCTTTAGTAATCGGATGATGGGGGAGTGACGGGTGGAGGGGCTTCAGTAATCGGATGATGGGTGAGTGACGGGTGGGGGCTTTAGCAATCGGATGATGGGGAGGACGGGGTGGAGGGCTGCATCGGATGATGGGGCGACGGGAGGGGGCTTTAGTGGCAATCGGATGATGGGGAGCGGACGGGTGGGAGGGGCTTTAGTAATCGGATGATGGGGAGGACGGGGTGGAGGGGGCTTTAGTAATCGATGATGGAGGACGGGGTGGAGGGGCTTTAGTAATCGGATGATGGGGAGCGACGGGGCGGAGGGGGCCGGTAATCGGGGAGTGACGGGGTGGAGGGGGCTTTAGTAATCGGATGATGGGGAGGGGCGGAGGGCTTCGGCAATCGACGATGGGGGGAGGACGGGGTGGAGGGGGCTTTAGTACTGGATGATGGGGAGTGACGGGGTGGGGAGGGGGCTTAGTAATCGGATGATGGGGAGGACGGGGTGGAGGGGGCTTTAGTAATAGGACGATGGGGGAGACGGGGTGGAGGGGGCTTTAGTAATAGGATGATGGGGGAGGACGGGTGGAGGGGCTTTAGTAATAGGATGATGGGGGAGGACGGGGTGGAGGAGGCTTTATCAGGATGATGGGGAGTGACGGGGGCGGAGGGGGCTTTAGTAATGGAACAAGGATTGCGGAGGGGGGCCTAATAGGACATAAAAGGAGTGACGGGGTGGAGGGGCTTCACTAATGGAACGATGGGGGCAAAGATTGGGTGAGGGGGCTTCAGTAATAGGATGATGATGGGGGGAGGATGGGCGGAGGGGCTTCACCAATGGAACGATGGGAGTGACGGGGTGAGGGGGTTTGCACAGGGATGATGGGGAGTGACGGGGTGGAGGGGCTTCAGTAATAGGATGATGGTGACGGGGGTGGAGGGGCTTCAGCAGCGGGAACGATGGGTGATTAAGTGGAGGGGGCTTCAGTAATAGGGATTATGGGGGAGTGACGGGGTGGAGGGGGCTTCAGTAATAGGATGATGGGGGAGTGACGGGGTGGAGGGGGCTTCAGTAATGGAACGATGGGGCAGTGATTGGGTGGAGGGGGGGTTAGTAATGGAACGATGGGGGAGTGACGGGGTGGAAGGGGGCTTCAGTAATAGAATGATGGGGAAGTGACGGAATGGTGGGGGCAGTGACGAAATGGTGAGGGGTTCAGTAATAGAATGATGGGGCAGTGACGGGAAGGTGGGTGGGTCAGTAATAGAATGATGGGGCAGTAAAATGATGGTGGGGGTCTGTAATAGAATGATGGGGGCAGTAAAATGATGGTGGGGGGTCAGTAATAGAATGATGGGGCAGTAAAATGATGGTGGGAGGGTCAGTAATAGAATGATGGGGCAGTAAAATGATGGTGGGGGGTCAGTAATAGAATGTTGGGGCAGTGACGGGATGGTGAGGGAGTCAGTAATAGAATGATGGGGCAGTGACGGGATGGTGGGGGGTCAGTAATAGAATGATGGGGCAGTGACGGGATGGTGGGGGGGTCAGTAATAGAATGATGGGGCAGTGACGGGATGGTGGGGGCTCAGTAATAGAATGATGGGGCAGTGACGGGATGGTGGGGGCTCAGTAATAGAATGATGGGGCAGTGACAGGATGGTGGGGGGTCAGTAATAGAATGATGGGGCAGTGACGGGATGGTTGGGGGTCAGTAATAGAATGATGGGGCAGTGACAGGATGACAGAAAAGGGTGGAGGGTGGCTCTGTATGAAGGAGGAGTCCTGGTTGTGGGCTGAGTTATGGGGGATATTAAGGACCGTCCTTCATTCCACTCTCTCTGCTCTTTTCACTT